TTGTCTCCCTTTTTCTTGGTCATAGAAAGTTGGACCGTGTTCGATATTTTGTCTGCCAGTATACACGGGGGTTATTTCAAATTAGAATGTATTTAAGAGTATACATATATCAGCAAATAGAAATGCCTGCTAAAGAGGAAAAATTAATTCTCCGTAGGCAATCTGGGTCGTTGGTGACCCAAGCGAAACCTTACTCTTGTATTTCTTCGAAACGAATTTCCCCTTTTCATTGAAAAAGATTTTAAACATTTGCTTCCTCACTTAACGAACAATTGTGTAATGTAGTAGAGACTGTGATAAGTATCCTCGAACTTCTTCAGATTGTTTGAAAGAACAAAATAGTAAAATATTAGACTTGAACATAAACGACCCAGTTTGCCTGCGATAGGTTAAAGATCAAAATGCGTTTCAAATGCTAAGAGAATTTGACTTTTAAAGAATTTCGTGTAGATAGAATTCGTATTTGAACAGATTTTGTAATTTAATTCAGTTCGTTTGCGCTATTATAAACATATGAAATTATACACTGCTCAAAACAATTACAGTATCACATATCGCAGTCGGTGTTTTCCGTCAACGTGGCATGTAATTTCTCGAAAGTTTTTCGTAATAATAAACTTCGGTGTTAGAAGCTTTGTAAAGAAAAAGTGGCTGGGTGACTTAACAGTTGACTGCTGTCGATGAAGAGCAGAATGTGTAAAATAAAAGTAGTTTTGTGCATGCTGAAAAATTCATTATTCATTTCTGTTTAACGATTATCTTAATCTCTTCATGGACACTGATACATACATACACTACCGGCCACAAGTTTGGGACTTCACCTACCACTTTTGATCAATATTGAATCTGCTGCTAATTTTTTATAGATTTGAAGTTTATCTCAATTCTACTTCTTTCAATTGATTCGAACGATAAAAAATTCTCAATGTCGCTGACTCTTTTCTGGAAATTTTTGTGTAAATTGCAATGCTCGGTGATTCCAAACTTCTGGCCGGTAGTGTATGTACGCGTACGTTAGATTTTTTTGAAAAGTTCAATATTTGTGATAGAAGAAATATGAAAACCTAGTGAATTCTAGTATACATAATGTTCTAACAAGAAAAGCAGTTCAATTGCTATCGATTTAAAAGGAATAAAGTATAACTACATAAAAAATTAGATCATTTTTGCTCACTTTTAAAAATCGTTCTTGGAGAGGTTCTTAAACTCAATATTCTGCACAGTATCGTATAAATAACATGTCAATTACGAAGGCTATAACACTTGTTCTCTTCTTTTCGCTTAGATGGCGTAATTGAATTGTCCACAGTAACGATTCTCTAATTGTTTTGAGTAGTGTACTTTACACGGAGTTCTATTCAACTTAAACTATTTTCTCCAAATACACGTGTTACTGGTTAAGCATTAATTAAGCATCAAATTGAATTTATTAAATTTTTGTTATTTACGAGCATGCGTTTTTATACTAAAATTGGAAGAATTTCAAAAAGTGGAGTTAATCATTTTGCCTTCTGAGTGGCTCTATTAAGATGCTCTATTGAAAAGTCATCAGTCAAATGACAATTTGCACGACGCATAAATTCTGTACTAACGTAAATTGAACTATAATATGTTTAATTAAAAAGAAAAACAATTCTTCAAGTTTTTACCATTTCCGATATATTCTTAGGGCAAGTGTAACTCAAGCAATTCCATTTGCAAGAAATTTATCGTAAAATTACCTATTTATTGCGGGATCAGAAATATAAATAGATATTTATCAACAAAATATAAAAATAACTATGATACATTTGACTTTGACACACGCTTCTTCGATTCACGCCTCTCGACTTTTCCAAACACACTGTCCTTTCATCCCTCGCACGCCGTACTTTGTAGCCAGGCCCTTCGTAAGCCTCTTCTCGCCGGGGTTTCTCCTGTTGGGCCTGGCTATCGTCGCTCGTCGCCCGCTTTCTCTCTCATCCTCACAATTACGATACTACATTATTGTACTAAAAAATTGCATAGTCAAAGAAATATTTCCTGCCATCAACTCAATTTAAATTCATTTATGTAAGGCGCCGTGCGACGCGCCTAGGCAACGACCGCGGGACCCGAGCCGCAGGGGGCCCTAGACAAGGAGCAGCGCAGGCTGCACCCCCACCCCACGGCTTGTTGGGCCCAAACGGCCGAAGAAACGTATAAAACGGGAGAAAGGGCAGCGGCCCACATATTATGGTACCCAACCATCGACCAGCAAACCAACGTCGTTTTAAAAATCAGTTATTTAAGCTCTTGTAATTCTTTACTCTTACATTTATTATACTTCAAATATATTTAGAATAGCAGAGCTGTTTTATTATAAATGTACCATTTACAACAATAATCAAAATGATATTCTCTTCCAATCAAAGGCAAAATAATCATATTTCCTTCAATTAGACGAGCTCGTTTCTCATTAAATGTACAGATTTGAACGTTACGGTAGGTCGAAAATGAATATTCATACGAAGAATCGCTTCTTTGTATGTATCTACAATATTAATTACAAAAACTCGGTTATACTCTGTGCTTAAATATTCTCATTTCTCCTTTTCCACATGAAAACCAACATTTTTAGTCAATAAAATTCATACATGAACTTTTTCACAATGAGTTTACACTCATTCACGCGCTTACAATTTGCACTGAACACGAAAAATTCTGTCAACACACCCAACATATTTCTACAGTAAATATAATTACCGAAATCGGCCATTTAACAGAAATCACATCTAACATCATAAGAAACACAAATTAAAACTTCTACTCCTTCCATTAAAATATAATATAGGGTTTTCCAATAGCACGTTTCAGGATGTTTTTAGGTTGTGTTTTTCATAAATTATAAAATATTCAATATATATTTATAAAATATTTTTTAAGGTTATAATTGACAACTGTCATCCGTGATTTATTACAATTTCAGTCATGAAGCGATATACCTACAGTGCAATAATACCTTAAAGTAATAGAAATGAATTACGAAAATTCGTATTGGATAAAAAATAACTTTCGAAAAATTTTCGCTTTTTTCGGTCCACAAAATCGCTCAACTGAGCAACCAATTCGTAATTTAGTAAAGAAATTCGAAAAAACTGCAATTCGTAGCAATTGGACATTGCTGAGACTACCACATGATGAATATTAAATAAAAATTTGGCTCTACACGCTGACAGGACTCAATTGACACAGGAAACCAGCAGAACAAACACCAGATCCGTCACGTTATTCGTGAAATTGAACCGCATTTATGCTTAAATGCTCTCAGAAATTTTGAAAAAAAGAACATCTTCCTGTTACTGTTAAGGGAACCGTGGTAGCCATTTGGCCGATATTGTATCATATTTCACATAGAATTGTAATAAGCCGAAATTGATATTCAAGTAGAAAAACCGAAATTTTCTAAATTAAAGTACACTTTATTATAAAAAACATCCTACAGCTCTGATTCCGAAATCCTTTACAAATAACCCAATTTTCAGATCCATGGATCCCACCTAAATCGACTTTACTCCACCAATTACACCTACCCAACACCAATTCCATCAGCCCCGTCCCACCGAACGTTAACCCTCACCTTAACCCCAAACACGGTCTGACCCCAATCTATATCGTATCATTCCATTGAACTCATCAAAACGATCATCGAACGCTTCTCGAAACCCAGAAAGACCAAACGAATCCGGTCATTCCACGCTGCCACACCACCCGGTATATTCCCTGGTAATGAACGCAACCACCTTGAACTGGCAAACGGATGAACGGGCAGCCAGAGCCAGTCTGTAAGAGTGAGCTCGAGCTCAAGAGAGAGAGAGAGTGACGGAGGAACGGGTTACAGAGAGGGAGAGAACAAACGTTGAGGGGGTGGCTAGGGTAAGAGGGAGCCGAGAGACGTGGTGCTAGCCACTAAAAGGGGTTGTGTCCTCTCTCCGGTGCGACGGAAGCACCCTTCTGTGTCCCGCTTCGCCTCCTTTTCCCTTTTGCCCTCCGAGAGAGCTCCCACTCACGGCCAGCCGTTAACTCTGGCATTTGTACACGCGTATACACGCGTCCCTGCATCCAAATGCCTGTGCACGCGTGTCCTCGTCCTTCACGCGTATCTGATAAGCCATTGACGGCTGGATGATCTGACGCGATTATGCGTCGCTTTGTCGAGCTCCTTCTCTGTTGCCTTCTGCGAGCCTGGACCTCTTTCTCTCGTATTCTTTCTTTTCATTTTGTTGGAGGTTTCAGCGGGGACATGTTGGGACGGGTTTCACGGTGAGGAATATGGTTTAAAGGGTTATGGGGGATATCGTTTAATATGCAGGGTGGAGTGGTTGGTTTTGGAAAACTCATGCAGATATCTCTTTTCCAAATGTTTCTACCTGTGAAAATAAAAATTTAGTACGGCACTTTGGTTGTAGTTTCTGGTGTTGCAGCGTGTGAAATGTCTGTTTTAGAACGGAAAAAGAACTCTTGAAATGATGTGTTTACTTGCAACGAGAAGTTTGGGAGAGATACATTTTTCAAATTTGCAATTTGATATTGGTATGGATAATGAAATTGTCGCCATAATTGAAGTGTCAAGGGAAAGAAGGACGAGGGTCCATCTTTGCCTATTACGATATTTGAATACATATTGATGTATTTTTTATTATAGAATTCAATTTCGCACTTAAATACAAGTTACTGCCGTTTAAACAATAACAGTATATTTTTCTAAGTTTGGGTGTAAAGTAAGTGTTAATTAGTTCAACAATACTGGACAGCATAGGCCATCGATGTTTAAAGTTCGTTTTACTCCAGATAACATTAAGTGGACGCTCGTCCTTTTCCCTCTGTACTTTACAATTGCTTCTATTTTGTGTTAAATATTCAAAATATTAAAATATAGTAGTACATTTGAACAATATTATTCCAGAGTGATCTGTAGAAATTCTATAAACTCTGATGTCTGATAAGAAGTTAAATAGGTACGCTAAAGGAAGGAAGTTTTATCAATGAATTTTTCCCAAAGAGACATTCCACGTGTTATATTTGATAGAATACCTATGTCTGAAAAAGTCAATAATCAAGATTATGTTGACAACGATGGCACATATTGTAATAATAGACCCAAGGATCAACAGGAACATGCCCAGAATTAATTTCCACTTCAACCTCCCGTAATTTCCATAATGCAGTAAAATGTACAAGGTGACTGGAATAATGGTTGTTAAAAGCGATATGCAGATAGATCCAACTAGACTAATGAATAAATCAACTTTAGGAACTATTGCAGCCAACGCACCTGAAATTTTAGTTAGCATATTGTTAAATTGACATAGACAAGGAATATAGGAAGGACTTTGAAGATTGGAATGTGTTACAGTGCTTATTGTGTTATTAGAATCTTTAAATTTGAAAACTTTCTTAAATGAAAATGATTTTCAACGTACTAGATAATTACGTAAAAGCATCAAAATTTTCAGTTGCTCCGTAGATAATGTGGATAAAGTAAAAGAAATATGTCATTAATATTTCATCGATGTAAACTAATACATTCAAAATTTATTATATTTATTGCATTTAACTCTCTACTTTGCTTAATGATTTTAAATAATACGTCACAATACTAAGCAAAAATGTACACCTCAATTCAACTACTTCTCTCTGTACCCTGTAGCAACCATTGGAAAACTAACTTTAGCTCGTACAATTTAGCATGTCAAAGACAGAATACTTTTTTCAAACAAACTTTTACTTGTTCATATTTTACTAAAAAAATAATATTCTGTATTTATAGATCTTAATTTCAATTCTGAGCCAAAGTAAAAATAATTAGTATGTTAAATTTGAAAATAATTTTTGATTTCCTGTCATATGCCAGTTTTATTTTCTTTTTTTTTTTTTAAACATGAGAAACGAAATAATGGAAATAATTTCGGGATCCAGCCGCAACGTGTTAACATAATTTCTTTAAAAACAGCAAATATATAAAGTCCAGATAAATAAGAATAACATTAACCAAAAGGAAGAATTTTTTCATTTCTCAACTCTGGTCCATTTAGTCGGAAAGAATCAATCAAAAGATCAAGATTGAGCCCATCGAAGCGTCCCTTATTAGAACGATGAATACTTGTGCCAAGAGTTTCGTTACGGCCAGCCACGAGGGAAACTGGGCTATCTATACTAAATTTCGCGAAAGTAGATTCAGGAACTTTAGTAATATCTGAGCTCATGATGTACTGCAATCGGATCGATTGATCGATTCCGTGAACTTCCCTCGTGAGAAGGAGGAGATTCAATCCGTTGCAACCGATCAAAATTTCCCTCGAGCTTACCATGAAAAGAATGAAAGGGAAAGGTAAATGTATGGAAAAATAGAAAACGAAGAAAAAAGAAGTTTACAAATAAAATTGTTTGCTTATACTACACATTTTTATAAACAAAGAGGCGAAAGTGTGTAAGTAGTAATTTTTATGAAAAAAACAAACAAGAAATTATTTCGAACGAAACATTTGACACGCGAGAAATGTAGTTACAGAAGCACATAGGTGTTTAAGAAAATGCAGGAGAAATAACATTGTTCACACTATCGCTGTTCTTTTTCACTCAAAACGAAACAAGAAAAGCAAAGTTAAGAAGTATTTTGAGCAAAAATTATTCTTCTTACTACAATCGTTAGGTTTCCCCATAAGTAATAAAAGTACTGTAAAAACAATTAACAACGAAGCAGAAAAGTTTTAAAAAGAGACTAAATTATAAATGAAATACCAAAAAATAAGTAGCTGTTGTATCATAGAAAAAGAGAGAAATGTATTCGTGATGAATTATCTATACATATTGTTCAATTTCAAGCTTTTCAAAATGCGGAATATCTGACTACTTATAAGATGACCTAATACACATCATTGGTTTGCTAGAAGAGTGACACAACCGACAAAAGTAAATTTTTCAGGAAATCGATTTGACATCTTTTGTGGTAGAAAGTTGTTAACTACCCAACCATGTAGAAATAAAAATATTTCTCTTACAAATTAGCTAATACCTAGTCTTCAAGTTTTGAGGGTCTCTAATAAAACATTGATTATGTGTATTGCTTACTACTTAAAAAAAAAAAATATTTAAAATAGCCCTATTTTGAATTGTGACATTACCCTTGTTAAATAGTATAATTTTAGATTTAATTTTAGTGAAGCTCTTTCCGATAAAAATAGCTCCCTTTTAGAGCAATTCACGATTTTTGAGATGTGTTACTGCCCTAACAAACCTATGTAGGTGTTTTTCTTAAAAAACGAAGCGAGATGAGCAAAATTACAAAAACAAGAAAAGTTGTAAAAAACTGTACATGTGAGAGAAGTGATGGCTAAACGGACGATCAAATCCCATTGATACAGAGTTCCTGCGAAAGTTTCTTGTTCAATTGCTGGTGCAACGTATCCGTTGACTATGAGAATTATTGGCAAGTAGCATTGAAGCCCATACGTGAAATAGATCGATAGAGCTTGCATTATTAACGCTGCTAATGTTGCCCTAGCACAATAAGTAATAGAAATGTTTTATTTGTTTAATCACAGTATACCTACTACGAAGAAATTTTTTACGAGTCGTGTTCTGGATGGTTCCGTATGAAATTGCCGAAAGCGTTAGAGCCCCATTTCAAGTAACCAACAGCACCGACGAAAGTGTGCAGAAGAGTGATGTATAACATGCCTTGGTTTAGTACTCCGTACGATTTCGTGTAATTCCAGGGCGTTTTCATGTCGTGTTCTACAGCTAACGCCTGAAAGTAGTTATGAGTCGAAAAATTGCAATTAACATTAATCCTATAATACAATTCAGTGCTTTTTGAACATTGGACAAACATTCTTATTGTCGTGAAAACTTTCATATCTTGCAATGTTTTATGTGAGCGACTTCATTGTTGCTGCAACTTATAATTCCTGAAGAAGATATAGTTTCAGATGCTTAGTCAATGCTCTATGATATTTAACAAAAGTACGTAGAGATTTTAAGTTTTTCCTATCTTAGTTTTACTGTTCTGATTTTTGAATTGCAACGTTAGTAATAAATAAAAAGAAACACGAAACGTTGAAATCTCTTATGTCGTATAATACAGAAATTTCACTTCTAATAAATGAATTTAGAATAATATTTCCCTGCTTAGAAAAAGACACATTGTAAAGGATTTTTCAGTCCTAAAATATGCTCAAGTCTTTTCTGTACTAAAAAGAATTGAACATTGAATTAGGTTTTATTATTTACACGTAACATTTCTTAATTAAAATAATATAACGAACTATTTTATTTAAAAAAAAAACTAATTTCAACTGAAGTTGAAATAATTTACAATTTAGGTATCACTTCTCACATACACTACCGGCCAAAAGTTTGGAATCACCTCCCAATTTTCATCAGTACTGAATCTGCCACTAATTTTTCGTAGACTTGATATTGATACTGTGGAGATAAATAGCAATTTATCTCATATCTTTTAAAATTCGTTAAAATATTCTTAAAGCTACTGACTTTTTTCTGGGAATTTTTCTGTAACTTGCAATGCACAGTGATTCCAAAATTTTGGCCGGTAGTATAGTACTTGAATACACCAATTTTTCTTTTTAATGGAAAACATATGCATAAACAAGCAATACGATTTTCATAAATGGAAACTTACTATACCGGGAGAACTTAAGCTGAAGAAAGCTGTTCCAATGAATTTCGGGTACAGACTTGCTGCTGGACCTATGAGAATCCATTTATCGCCAATTCCATCATTCAACGCGAGCACTACACCTATCAATGCGCTACAAAAGAGCAACACGTTTCCAATAATGGAAACAATTGCGATATCGCTTAAATATTTCACCATATTTATTAGAAAGAACAATGGGAACAACATCAAAGCGTAGTATCCTTGATCGATTGTTCTATTTGCGTCGAAAGATTCCTGTATGGTTCCGCTTACAAACACAACGCACACTGCACCCACTCCTATGTAACACACTAGGATCGCTATGTCGATGAAATATCTGAAAAATTTCAGTCTTTTTTAGTGAATACGCTGTATTTTGAAAAAATATCTAGTCACATTTTATTTTAACCCTTTGATTACTATTGGCGCCTATAGGCGTGTTGAAAATTTACTGTACTGTTGGAGCCTTTTGGTGCACTTCCACCTTAATTTAACACGTTTCGTGCCGCGTGGGTCCCATACGCCCCACTCTGGACTTTCCGTTCAGGCCATTTGATATTTCGGCCTTCTCCTTCCGCTCATTTAAACTATGCAACCACGGCGATAATTTGTTAAAAGAAAATTTTTCCTTTGCTCTGTAGCGTATCTTAAACGTTACCTTTTCCTCGATAACAATGATTTCTGCAATCTTATAAATATTGGAAGACATATATAGGGTGGAAAGCAAAACTGTTAGTCTCGACAGCGTGGGGCGGAACGGAAAGTCACCGAAAATCGGTCCGGCACGGAACGTGTTAATACTTATTTTTATCCTTCACTTTTATCCTTGATTTAATAAACCGAATTTTAAAACGATACGGCCGAAATAAGAAATGTTGCAGCCGTGGTTAAAAATTTACCGCGAGTCACCCATGTTGCGCGTTCAAATCCGCCGTAGCGAAAGGGTTAATATAAAATGTGAAGAAGGCATCGTTGAACCAATTATAACATCTTCAATGTACACTGGCGTGCATAAGTATTAGGACGTCTGTTATGTTCATACAGATAGTATTTGTATGTGATTCGAATTACGTTTCTTTGCCAAAGTTAGTATCATACATCAGTCAAAATATGCAGGGTGTTCACGACATTAGTTTCCAATATTTTTCTCCTAAGTGGTAGATTTGTGAGAAAAATAGAAGAGGACAAAGTTTCGTTGCTTTTCGTACACAGCACGATGAACTCGATAGATATTTTAAATTTGCAATAATTTTTGTGTAATGACAATACCACGAATTGTTTCAAATTGACAACTATAGTTCCTTTTATATTATACGAAAGCGGTTGCCGAGACAAGTTCAAAAACTGACAGCAAAGTTCATTTTCGTAAATAAATTTCGTGACTATATGGAGCACAGTAAACGACACACAATTAGGGCTTTATTTTTACAACGGCACCTTAAATGGAAATAGATATTTAGAAATGTTATCTTATGTACTCGTTGCACTACGAAATTCCAGACTGAATCAGGATCTTAATAATGTTGTAACGACTGTTTAGGTTTATCTCACATTCGATAAGTGTTCCTGATACTTACAAATGGGAGTGTAAGTGCCAGAAGAGAAGATTTTCAGTGTAAACGAAAAACATGTGTTTACTAATTTTAGCACTTACGTCGTTTATCTTTTGAACGCTGTGGACTTACAGCGTTTACCAACTTTATAGATTTAGAGGAAATGTAGGTGGTAAAAGGTCTATCAGATTACTTAAATTTATTTGTACACTCTACTTGTAATATACTATTTTTGGCACTTACATCGTTTATCACTTCAACACATAAATTATAAATGTAAATTTACAAACGTGGCAACTGGCGCAGACAACCATGGTTTTCCGCTCTTCGCTGCCAAACTAGCGACAACAACCTCGTCGTAATTTAAAACTGGCTTCTCCGTTCGAACGCACATTCTATGATGAATCCTGAGTAAAATGTGCAGCGATACGGTAATTAACAATCCCATTAAAATCGTGCCGATTACTCCTACGATCAAACCAACACCGGCGTACGCGTTTGGTAGCGCGAACAGTCCTGTTCCAACTACGCTTTTCACTAAATTCATCAGAGATTTGACGTCGCTAAATTATACGAAAATATCCAAGTTATTACGGTGCACGTGCACGTGTCATAGAGAGTTTTGGAGATGATTAAAGAAATGATTGTACGAGATTGGTTTTACAGGCGCGCGATCAGCGTAAGGATCGTAAGAATCATCATTGTTTATTTCTGATTGAGCTGCTCCTCTTCTGGACCTAACAGTACGATACAAAATGAAATTCATGTATGATAAGTTAAAGGCTTACAGTAATTGTTGCATTAAATGCACAGGTCCATTTAACAACGGTTTGTAAAGCAATTCTAAAGGAAGTACGCTGAACTTGTCTGATTTGTCATATACGTTTCTCAGCACTAAAAAGTGGTAAATGTTTGTGAGTAATTGGAGGGATTGATTGGAGTACTATTAGGCTGATTCGTTTAATTCTTTTTCATACTAGAAAGCATGAATGAAAAATTGAAAATTATCGGAAATATGACGTCCACGTGTAACGGCGTGAAATGGTTATTTTGGCGCCGCCTCAAACGGCGAGCATGATTCAGCCCGTGCTAGTAATTAACCCTTTCGCAACTAACGCCGGTTATATCCGACATCCGCTAAATGCTTCACACTGGCAAGCGCCGGTTATATCCGGCATCAGCTAAATGCTTCACACTGACAAGCGCCGGTTATATCCGGCATCCACTAAGCGCGTCGCCTCAACAACTCAAAGTGAAGATTTATTTTAAAATGCAGAACAAAGCCTCAACAACGTTCCCTTAAGTCCTCTGCTGTTCCAACGAAATCCTCTAAGATTTGAAAAAACGCGAGACACTCTTAATGCGTATGGTGTGCACTAATGGCACGACGACCCGTTCGTTAGTGGCGTACTGATGGCTAGTTCCGCCGTCGCGAAAGGGTTAAAAATAAATATTTACGATTTCTTAATATATTTTGGAATCGTAGTTTTCGGTTCACGAAACGGAAGTCTAAATTTAATACAAAATAAACACGTGTATGCTTCTTTCAAAGCTAACAATAATTTAGGGACCTCAGTTGGGTAAATATTTCTTACGTACTTTAGCGAGTACTGTATGTCTGTAAATTGTTAAGAATATACGACTTCTTTGCCCTTATAAAGAATGTAGAGAAACTAAATGTAGTAAGTTAATGAAACTGACGAGTTTGATACAGTTTTGCCCTTTGTTAAAATAAAACAGTATTTAAATAGACATTTCAGAACGATTTAAGAGAAATAAAAATAACTTGATATACCTGCATAGATTAATCAACAACGGTAGAAAAGCTAACAAAATTTTTGTTGCATTCGTAAAAGCATTTACATGCCTGAAATTGCACATATGGAATCATTAGTGTACTTATAAAAATGTTTCCTACATATAGATTAATTATTTATCACAGCATCGTTAAGAAAATGAAATCTTTGTCTTTCACAAACTTATAACACTAAACTACCAAAATTTCTTTTGGTCCTACGGATCTTTCCTTTACGTTACATATGTACATATATGCGTTACTGTTATAGGTTATACATTTTTTCTAACCACAGAATCTAGATGTGGAATAAAAAACACAAGATTTCGCAAATTTAATTCAACTAATCAATCCAAAATATTTACAGCACAACTTACATTTAAAATCCAAAGTTGGCCTGAATGACCAATTTCCTTCGAAAAATATCTACACGCACAAACACCTCTGAATACATCTATTAACGAAAGCACTGCCAAGTAGGGATCGATTACTCGCGGCTAAACGGCCAGAACTTAATCCAAATTGCCTCAGGCGACGCAACACCTTGCGTTCAAACATTCGAACCTCCGAGAAAGACATTATTCCTAAAGAAGAGTGACACGAAACAGCCAACACCAACCATTGATACCTTCAACGGGACCGTGTCAAATTGGTCGACAATCGTTCCAAACGATTCGTTGCGCCCGCCTTTTTTCTCACGGGCGACTGCGGCCGATTGGCCGACATTAACATGAATTTCTCGCGCAACTAATTTCCAGCAAGGCTCAGGACATCGTCGAAAGAGAGAATAAGGCTGGATACCCGATTCACCGACCCCGGTATTGTGATCCTCTCGCTTGGCTGGACCGAGCTGACCGACTTAGCGGTAACGCGAGTTCAGTTACGGAGATTTTCCCGGGGGATTTAACGCCTCGCGGCTCCTCACGGATTGGATAAAAGGGATCATCGGCATGAGCTTGAACCGTGAATCGTGGTTAAGGCCACGACGACAAACCGCTTTCTTTTCACCGGGGAAAACCTGACAGGGAACGGTGAACGGAGACTCTTTGCGTCAGCACATCGCCACGAGGATCCTCTTTCGAAATTACCTTGTCTTGCCTGGCGGTGGTGTGAACCCGGGGTCAATATTGACTTTAAGCAGAGATTTGCCGGTGGATACGCGTTCGGCGGTGTTTTTGTTTGATTTCGATTTTAGGGGTTGATAAGGATAGATCGATTTTAGCTGAAACTGTAAGATAGATTTCAATTTTTGATTAGATAGAGTTACTTCGGAAAATATTCAGACATTAACGAAACAACCATTAAACACGACGCAGTTAAAAATGTTCATAATATTAAGATATTATGATTATTATTCATTTTTGCTAAATGTCCCGAATATACACTACCGGCCAAACGTTTGGAATCACCTCCCACTTTTGATCAATATTAAATCTGCTGCTAATTTTTCATAGATTTGAAGTTTATCTCAATTCTACTTTTATCAATTTATCTCATATCAATTGATTCGAATGATCAAAAATTCTCAAAGTCGCTGACATTTTTCTGGAAATTGCAACGCCCAGTGATTCCAAACTTTTGGCCGTTAGTATATGTGTAACGTAGTAATTGGAAATAATTTCGATTAATTTGTATTACAATTTCATATACGAAGATGCATTAATTTAACAATATGCAATTCTAGAGACAGCGAATAACGTTTCACAACGAGAAAGAGTCAACTCAGTTCTTTATAATTAACCGAAATAAATCACTGGAAAGATACGTTTATATAGTATTCGAATATCCTTAGGACTAACTGTATGTGGATTATACGTATAGAATTGAAAATTATACAGATATATTAGGTCGTTCCATAAGTTCGTGCCGAGAACGAAAAATAATTTAAGGAAAATTCAAGGAAATACTACAGCGACGACATAATGGTATTACTAAAAAAATAGAAAAAAGTTGTGGAACGAGAAGGCGCTTACGTTTTTTTTTTGTCAAATGTAAACGTTCGTTGGAAGCATCGATCTGAATTTTTAAATTCGGCACGAACTTATGGGATGACCTAATATTTAATTATACTTTGCTCGTAAGAAGCAGTTTATGCCAAAAATAAATTGCATTTGTTGAAAAAAATGTACAGGGTGCCTTCGAAAATGTAGAATATGTTTTCATACGAAGATTCATTTCCGAATAAATCGATATTAATTTCATGAACATATTTCAGTTTGTATTAAATTTATCGACAAAAAGAAAAAAGAGAATTTCTTTAACACTTCGTAGAATAAATCTTTATAAAATTAGAATCTTAAGTCAATTTAAGCAATCTTTAAAACGTTTATTTGTCAATTAACAATTGAAAATTAAAATCAGAAAAAGTTTGTTTTATATGTTGAAAACGATTACTGGTACATTGTATACATATATTTACACAAAAATTAATAAATAAATCAATTTTGTCAATTCGATCAAACTTTGTCAGTAGGTACGTTCTATGGGTATAAGTGAAATAAAAGTCGTTTGAAACTTTGTTAAAAAGTTATAACAAAAATACGAAACACGAACTTGCGGTTACTACGATACAAGACAAGAATGGCACTGGTAGAAGTTGAACGCCTTCAGCGACCTCAGATCGTAAATGCAGCTCGCATAAGCAGAGTACGTAGTGTTTACAGTGACTCCCACTAATATTCCGACACTCTAGAGCAATATAACGTTTTTAAAATTGATCGTAACTAAATCTTAAGATTTATTACAATTGTAGGCCGAAAGTCGTCAAATGGTCTGATTTTCACAATTTTTAACCGTTTGTAGCTCGTAGCAACATTAACCGATTTCGCTGAAATGTTCAGCATGTGTATAATTGACATAAGTCTACGAAAGGTATTTCTTAAATTTTCATTTCGGGTTCAAATAAAAAAAATTGTTAAATGTGATCTTTACAATTTTCTTCGCGATTCCCACAAATTGCAATTTTTTTTTTCAATTTTTTGCACACATCATCTAGTATACATTTCCTTCTAATTTCTCGAAAACATTCAAGTCGTTAGGTTGAATTTAAAAAAAGTTATACCGTTCTATAGAGTGTCCGAATATTAGTGGGAGTCACTGTACTTACATATCGCTGATCTATTCCTATTTTATATCATATTAACCGCACATCCGTTACCGCCCCCTTCGTATTACTGTTAATACTTTTTAATAAATCTTCAAACGACCTATGCCTATACAACAGTATTTTTCTTGCTGATGCCCATAAAACATATTGGCAAATTTTGATCGCAAAAAAACTGGGACATCTTGTATAGCGTTCTGTGATGCCCGGTTTGCGCCAATTCCTCGGAACTAGGAGCAGATATTGGGGTATCGCTGAATTAAAACACTTAAGGATCGTCGTTGCGTAGAAACAGAGCTTTATTTGACGGAGATTTTGACGTTACGTGACGTGCGCGTGGTAAAACTGAGAATGAACGCGGAAATGGAGAAAATAGGGCTATTTAAGGGTTCTGGGAAGATGGACTTTGGGCTGTGACTATGCAGGTGAGTTGGAAGGTGAAGAGTCCAGTATGAGTAAAGGTGAAAGTGGGTGACTCGTTGTAAGTACAGATAAAACTAAGGACTAAGGAGGAAAATATTTGAGGGTGTAACAGTTCGAATAGTCGCTATTTTCATTCAAAGGATTAAGAATCATTTACTCTGAAGTATCACACCCGTCTCATCTAATCAATACTAAATGCACCATATTCTTAAACAATCTTTTCTTCATCCGCCACTTCACCTAACATATCAACACTTGGGTCTCCTCTTTTCAACTCCTATTTCCTCGTACAACAGCATAAAACAAAAAAAGTCCCAAAACAAGCACAAACCCATTGAAACTTCCTCGTCCAATACCAATTATTTAAAAACGAAGGAGTACTAAAAAGAAGCTTTCACAGCCGGTAGAAGCAGTCCACCAGCAACGGACGCCATTGACACGAATCGTACAGAATACAAACGGACAGGGTAGCAGTTAGCCGTCCTGTGTCATAGAAACGAGAACGAAGGTATACGCACGCAATGGCCGTGCACGCGCGATCAGGGAGAGGGAGACGATAATGTTCGGGGCGACGTCCCGTAGCGCTAGACTGTGACTAAATCCGCGGTGCCCATGCAGTGTTTACACTCGAGATGATGCCTCCTAATGCTAATACGCGGCCTGGGCCAGTGCAGCGTGGCCTCTCCTCCGGTTTCTTAATGCTCAATCGCAATCCAATGAAAAGTATATGAATGGCAAGCGATTATCAAGTCGAGCGGGCGCCCTCAATGTGTCCGCCGAGGCGTCCGCGGCAACCCTGCTGCGTTAACCGACGTCGAATCAGGACCAAATGGTACGAATTCGTCGCTTTTCCCTCTCTTTTGACCTGGCTCCCTCCGCTCTGGTCCCATTGGTCCCTCCTTTCGTACGCTTTTCACTCCCCTTTCTCGCCGATTCGTTCTCTGTCTTTTTCGTTCTCCTCTTCTCTTTCTTTCCCCCCCATTTTTTTTTTTTTTGCGGATTCAAACGATTACACCGGCGGCCTTTCGAAGGGATTCGCCACGAAGCACGTGGTCGGATTTCCGGCTGACTCGCCGCTTAGAATCGGGTCAAAGAGCAATAAACGGTGTAATTACCATTGTTGGCAAACGTGGTCGAACGAAGGAGGAGAAGAAGGCAGTGACATTGAGATCGAACACGATTCGAAGGATTTCGAAAAGTGCGATGTTGAAGAGCGAAGTATCGAAAGGTTGATTTTTAATTACAGGGTGTCTGCAAATTTGCGCCATTTGAAATGGCTACCACACGGTAGTTGATACGAAGAAAATGTAACAACGTATTCCTTATCATAGTTCAAGCTTCTTAATGGGCTAAAGGGGGCTTTTTCCCTCTGTCCCTCGAATAATGACAAACGGAAAAACACCGAAAGTGTCTAGCAAGTGTCTGAAACTTTCGATGATCGAGTTTGACAAATGTACTCTACTTCTCAAATGTCACAGTTCATGTTCAAATCATAGCACCGAACCTGAGTGGCCTTCCTTCCCATAGTTTAGAAATGATCAAACAACGTTCGAGGACTGCGCCTTCAAGCTTCTTAATGGGCTAAAGGGGGCTTTTTCCCTCTGTCCCTCGAATAATGACAAACGGAAAAACACCGAAAGTGTCTAGCAAGTGTCTGAAACTTTCGATGATCGAGTTTGACAAATGTACTCTACTTCTCAAATGTCACAGTTCATGTTCAAATCATAGCACCGAACCTGAGTGGCCTTCCTTCCCATAGTTTAGAAATGATCAGGCAACGTTCGAGGACTGCGCCTGGATTTTCTTCACTTCAACGATCTTTCCCTTGTTGGACGTAGATAGCTTCACCTATGTTCTACAATTTTACACGTGTTCTAAAAGTGAGCCAAGGATGTAATAACAGGTCAGACATCGCATAAACAAATAATGTTACTTCATGATAGCACTCTGCTTACTCCGTGATAGATCTTGTTAGTGCGTGATATGGTCACTTATTTAGTATTGCAGTTATTTTAACATCCAAATTTGATAAACCGCTGGTCATGAAAATTTGTCTTTTCGCTGCAGTACGGTTGTGAAGAAATGTGATGATCCTAGCGGCTCGGCGCAGATGTATTTAGGTAGAAACGTGTTCAAAGAAACAATCAAGAAAACAATTCGTTTTGTCAGTACCTAATGACAGTCAGATGTCTGAGACATAAGGAAACATTATTTCTTCATTTTTTCTTAACACATTAAGGACCGCTAAGAAATCTATAAGACATATGCCTAGGACCGCACTAAAATCCTCATTACTTTTTTATTTACGAAGCAATTTTTGCGAAACTTTCAGAAATTGTAAAATAGGATGCATCTTAGGTATTATTGAAAAAAAATTATGTTTTTTAATAATTATCATAACTTTTTTACTTAAAAAATAAATTTTTACGAAATTTTTAGAAATTGTAAAATAGGATGTATTTTAGGCAATTATTAAAAAAAATTGGTTTTTAATAATTATCATAAAATTTTATTTAAAAATCAATTTTACCAAAGTTTCTAGTACTTTTTTAAAGTATGATATTGCGTGAAAGATTTTTCTCTATGAAGAGGAACCATACAAAATTTACATATATATCTTGATTCGCTTCGAAGACGAAGACTATTCGAATCACCAAAATGGAATGCAACGTGTCGAATTTTCTCTGAGACTAAGCTGTTTTTATTTCGGGTTCGTGCATTTATACAGTCTTTCATAGCTTGACCTGTTTCCACCAATGGGATTGATCTCTTCGGTGTGGATGAGACGAAAACGGTTAATACATTGACTATTGATGTAAACACTTAAATGGACAAAGTAGATACAATGTATCAAAGTAATTGACATCTAAAGACAACGTGGCGGTCCTTAATGTGTTAAATAGTACAATAAGAAACGCGGGCTCACGCACAAACAGAAAAAATTTAGTTACTTTTCATAAGCAAAATTAACACTGATGCTTTTCGGTATAATAATCTTAAGATGAAGTCTTGTTAAAGCGTCTTTTCACCATCACTTACCTGAATCGTTCATGTTCTATTTATCTTCTAAAACGCGTGTAATGCATAAACAAGCAATCGTCCACGTCTAACACGGAAAATTACACGAATAATGCTCTCCTGAAACAAAAACGCTTTCCCACTTCATCGAACTAACTTCAACTGGACTGATTGTTTCACCGCAACATAAACTAGAACACCAACACTATGGGCTTATTACTGTTTCTTAATTAAATCGTGTTTGGCAACTTTGTGTTAGAGATGAATGAAAAAGTATCATGGACTAACAAGGGAATATCGTTAACCCTTTTAAAACTTGGCAAGTTTTTAGGGGACGTTAATAAAACTATCGGACAATTTGTTTTTGCTACTTTTTAGTTCTTCAGAATGAAAATAGGGTGTGTTTCGAAACCTATAGTAGATATAACAAAATTGTTACGAAGAAAATGTAATAATTTTTTATGAAATTGTTAACAATTTATTCATCCCCTGGCTACCTTTATTTTCAAAAATTTGTATCTTCTTGCCAGGTCATAAAACGTGTACAATTTCATTATAAGTACGTGTACATACTAACTTATCTGACAACGTAGCCTACTTTGATAATTTTTACTTTTTCAGTCAGCGCTCTGAGATTTGTGAATAAATCATAGATTTATACCAATTACTTCAGAAAGGACTTCTTATAATTTTCTTATTAAACGAGTTAATAAAAATGTAAAATAAAGGATTAGAACGATTACACTTCGAACGATGCGTTATCTAATATACGAGATGTTCTCACCCTGAAAGAGCAAAATGTAGAAAAAAAGAAAAGCTGCAAAGTTCAAAATAAAATCACAGTTTTCGGAATATCGAAGTTTCCTTTTAAGCGGACTCTATAATGTGCATGATTTATCTGAGAACACTTGAATATCTCGAAAAATGTGGCTGACACGGAAAAGTGTTTGAGACAAAAATTGTAGGGTACCAAGGAGCACGTATGATGTCTGTATTTATTTGACCCTGCGACGAGCTTGAAAAGATCTATGAAGTTTACGGTTAAATTTTTATTACATATTCTTGTAGTATATATGACGATTCTTTACGGTCATAACCCAACAAACAACCTGCATACCCAATAAACACCATTAACCTTCTCCACCCTTCAAAAACAAGCAAATAAAAAGAAGAGTGAAAAAATTCATAATTCTACCTGTAAGAGTGCATTGAAACGCGTGTCCGTTCACAAGTCTCATTCGTCAGCAGGCAACGTGTACGCCGCACTTTTCCGTGTCGATGGTCTTTCAAAATGGCCGCAAAAACTTCCTTTCGCCCCCAGTAGCATTTTATCCGTCGCCGGGAGCAAAGCAACATTTTGACATGAGGTATTTATCGGGAATCGAGATTTGCTGAAACGGAAAGCAAAACAGAGGCGGCCAGTTTCGGGACTCGTTGAAAAAAATCCGCTGTCCACGGAGGTTCTTGCCACTGACGTTTTTGGTTACGTGCAACAAGCTCCTCTAGCGGGGCGGCAGGCCGGGGAGGGAAAAAGAGAGAGAGAGAGAGAGAGGAGAGTCGAAAGGCCCGGGGCTCGACGCAACGAAACTGTTCCACCGAGCGATTCTGTTTGCCGACACGCACGCTCGCTGAGAAGGATCGTTTTTCGGAGTCACTGATTCGAATCGCGTGCTTCTGCCCGATTCCGATGTCCTGGAGGGCGCTTGAAAATTTTGCACGTGCCACTGTAAAAATCGGGTCGAGCAGCGGAGAGCTGAACGGGGGACGAGAGAGGTAGAAAGAGTGAGAGAGCGTGTGTAAAAGAAAGAGAGAGAGGGGGTTGGGCATCAAGGTAAATGGTAAGCAAGCACTCATCCTCGAACGGCTGCCCGCTGGCCTGTCACAGATTTCCCCCGTGGAAAATTGGTCATGCGTTTGGACGCTTACGGTGAACGGCTTGTAAACTGCGCGGAGATGTTGTTTCTTCGGATTATAGGATCGTTCGAAGGTGTAAGATGGGTAAATGTGCGGATGAACTGGTTTGTTTTCGAAAAGATGCAAAATAGTGAATAATTGAGGAGATGTTAGATTTGTATCGATGAATTAACCTCTAGGGTACTACACGACACTATAATGGTTTCCCGCTAGGTGATCTTTTAGGACAAGATGCCATTATAGTAGCTCTCTTCTTTATCTCGCATTGGAAGCCGTATACAGGGTGTCATGTAATTGGTGGTACAACTGGGAAGAGGGTGATTCTACGTGAAAAAATAAGTTAAAAATAGAAAAATAAAATTTTTTCATATGAGACTGTTTTTGAAAAGAATCCACTTTAAATATCTGCCTGGTACGGATGTACTTAATTAGGGGAGAGTCGTGCAGTAGCGGCCAAAGCTAGATCTCGCTTATACAGTAAATTCTCTACAAGTGTCAGTTTGGATTCTACAAGTGTCAGTATAGATGGTTCTACGCCTAGGCTGTGTCATTGCTGCGCCTATGTTATCTCGCTCGCTGTCGGTCAAGCGTGTAACGCTACACCACTCGGTTTCTTTTACGAGATTCCACGGCTCGACAATTCATAATAGAAAAATATAATTTCTTCAATTTTACTTTTTTTCATCTGGAATTTTTTTTAACATGCTGGTGAGATTTTTCTGATGAAAATGATATCAAACACGATATAATTTGAACAACATTTACTTATTCACTGTCACGCCAGGCGGGCGCGAGGCTCGAAAACGTAGTCCCTGATTCTACAAGTGTCAGGTTTAGGTTCCTTGAGGACTGACACTTGTGGAGAATTTACTGTACTGTTAGTTGACTATATTTTTATTATAACTTTTTTATAAAGCATTTGCGGACCTATGTTTATATAACACTTTTTTCTCATTTTAACTCGTAGACATACTGGTGCAGTTTGATCGTTTAATCCGGGGACACCCTGTATAGTCTGAGATGACGAATCACACTGGTTTAGACCGACGGACATGTCGTACTATAATATTTTACAACTATCTTTGATCTTTACCTACACTTGATGGATAACACATAACTTGCTATATAACACGAAAAATGTTATTTAAAAAACTTTTTCTTTTCCTAACAAGTTTTATAACTTTGCTATATTATATACAGCATAACTTTGTTATGTTATATAGGGTAGACATAGGGTAAATCGCGGTACTATAATAATATCATTAATTCGCACTCCGCGGCAGAACTTAACACGGTGGTGCAGCTCCTCGGCTAGCCCACAAGCTAGTTACTCAGCCGTAGTTAAAGAGTCAACACGTTTCCTGCCACAAGAAAATCACGAGAGACGTGCTGTGTGTCAGCAATTTATAACTCTCAGCTAGACATGTGATTTTCACGGTGATAATTGTTGATTTCACAGAGACGGTATCGACATTTGATGTCGCGACAATGACCGATTATCGTTAGTACACTGTCGACAATGTTACACGGGGCAAATCATTCTGTGTCGACAATGCTTCGACAGCAGCAGCGAACGTGTTAAGTGATTTGACCATCTTGACCTGCTCAAGAAGTAGCGCGATTTTCGAAATTTATTTCGAAATAACAAATACACTAATTTGAGAAAAGATTTTCACTAATGACAGAACCATGTGTGAATAATATTCAAGAATTATTTTGAAAAAAAGACGAAAAGGTGTGCATCATAACGTATACGGCCGGACGGTGTAGGTACCTACTTTATTTGTGATGAAAATTAATGAGATATTAAATAAAACTAAATCGAAACTTGTTGTACACCGCATGCACTTTCAGCGGATTAACCCTTTAACTTATGATTCCTTTTTTACCGACTACTTATACCTTTTAAGCGTCAGTTACTTTGCTAAGGTAAGAGAAGCTAACATATTATAGATTAATTACATTTGGTAATCGGTCAATTTTATGAATTAGAACGAAAGTTAGAATTAAAATTAATTTTAATTACCCCCACCCACAAGCAACACGACGGAACCACAGAAACCACAGCACTCATCAATGCAAATCTATCTTTCGTTTCGCATCGATGTGTCCACGAACGAACCGCTAAGCCGCGCAAGTAAATTTTACCAGAGAACAGAGCATTTACCGCAATGGGTTCTCACACGGCAACGTTAATCCTATTCCCGTTGCTTTTTCCAACAGATCGTGCGCGAATGAGCGGCACTCGCAACATGTAGAAATTACTCCAAGCAAACAGTTAGAAAAAAAGGAAAGAAATAAAAACAATCAAGAGAAAGGGGGAGAAGAGAGAGAAAATCTGTTTTCTCCTTTAAAAACGAGGGAGAGAGAGAAAAAACGCGAAACGAGCGAGAGAAGCGTGGGTAGCAGACACGAGAGGCAGCGTGTGCGTGAGGCGCTTTTAATGCGTGTTACCCGGCGGAACCGCAATCCGCTTTTGCGGCGG